AAGTTCACAAGTAACAATAGCATTAAATTGCTCCTGCCTCAAATGAATGGAGCTCCTTATATAAGTATTCAACCCACTGGTCAAAGGATATCTCTGAAAGTGAAGCGCTAAAGATTTTCTGGAAGATATTAACATTCTACTCTGATTATTATTTTTTTTTAATTTCCATTAAGAGTTCCCCCAAACACATGCATGTGAACGAATGAATGACTATGACTTAAGTAGAAACAGACCACTGAGTCTACCTTCAATGCCTTTGGGACTGGTTCCCTTTTCTCTTTATCACACTGGCCACTGACAGTTATGTCCACGACCACTTAAATGGGGCCTGGTTTAGGGGATAAGAAACAAGGAAATGCATTCAGTGAAGTGTCAGTTTGAGTGCTTGGTCCTTAAGGCCTAGACAACAAGGCCAGTCATGGCACCAAAAGCATTTCCAGTGCTCCCCAGATTCTGTGAACTGTCTGTGGGAGTGACACCTGGCAAACAGCGCCCTACCACTGTCCCACGTGCCTGGCCAACCATTAGCAACATAGAGCTGCCTGAGAGCTTACTACCAGAGCACATCTGTTTTCCTGGCATCGGCTCCTATGGGAACAAAGCCAATATGCCTGGGTGGGGAGAGGAGAAATCAAGTTGGGATAGAAAAAAAACAAAACAAAGTGTGGTGCTTTGTTACATTAAAGACATAACAGGTCTTTAATTTCTACAGCAAAGCACAGAGGACTCTATTGTGGAAATGCCTGAGAGTTTCTAGTTGGCCTGATGCTGCAAATCCGGCCACATGGAAGGCCCTTATGAGAGATGTTTGCTGCAGCTGCCACACCTGCCAATCCTCTTCCTCACTCCTTCTATGTTCCCTTTCTGAGGATGTGACCAGACAAGGGCTCTTCCTTACATTTCTCAGGGATTGCCAAACTGATGAATCTTCATGTGGAATTTAAATGACACATAATGGTCGGGGAAGTCTGCCAGGTCATATGTTAAAAAGCTCAACTGAAACAACAGATCTCCTGTCAGCCAACATTTGAATAAATCATTCCTACAACTTTCAGTGCCTTCGGCTACTCACACCTCAGACAAGAGTTCACTCTTACCTACAAGTAAGATTTCCATGTCACCCCAGTTCTCCCAAGTTTGAGGCTGAGCATTTACTTTATCTTAATTGGCCTGTGAGTGCCATGAGGGCAGATTTTTGTTATCTGACTTCTATTTTCAGAGGCTGGCATGGTGCCCAATAAACACAGTAATTCAGTGGGTGTCTGGTGAATGAGTGCTTGCAGGCATGTTTACCAGACTAGCAAGGGAAGAAAATCTATTGGCTTCAGTGAACAAGTGGGTTGGTAAATATTTGATGCTTTTCATGATATGATTATCACAGAATGTATCTCTACGATCTCCCACAAATAATACCTTGTATGACAATTATCACATTAAACATCCTATTATGGTTTTTTGTGAATACATCCTGCCTTTCCCTATAAATTCTTTGGAAGCAGGGACAAGGTATTTTTCAGTTATTTTATCCATCTCCTTACCCAATTAATGACTATAAAACTGAATGAACGGTAAATAAAAAAATTAAAAAAAAAAAACTGAATGAACGAATGGATGCTTATTGACCAAACCATATTACAATCTCAACTCTATCGATACCTTCCAGCACAAGCACCGAAGTCTTCCTTTTTCCTTCTTAAAGAAAGTTCAGCCCCCCAGAAAACTGCTGGCAGAAATTTATGTTGGCACATTAACCAAAGATAACACTCCTTTGACAATACCAATACTAAATGACAGAGAAAACAAATAAATAAGAACTTGGAGGCAGAGGAAGAGTAGGGGAAACTGTGAACAGCATAAAGCCTGGATAGGCCCAGGACCCAGGGGATAGGATACGGTGGTCAGGAGCAGCCAGGGTAGATTACAGAATGTGGCTGTAGACAAAATGTGTGGATCACTCACAATGCAAATTAACCATGTTAATAAAAGGACCGCACTGAAACACTGGCATGGAGCAATTTTGTAAATAGTTTGCCAGGGGTGTTGAAGCCAGGACTCTATTCTGGAAATGGGGTAGAAAAATAAAATCTTTCATGCAATGTTATGCATAATGGCATACAGATTGAGAACAGAGGCCAACAGTGGGTAGAGAAAAAACTTGACTCAGAGGGCAGGTTTCTCTCTATTGCACGGTTCTCTAACCATTAACCAATTAAGGACATCACCCCATTTCCTATGGCAGTTTTCTCTGATGGAAAATGAGGTCTCAGCCCTAACCATACAGAGTTATAAAGCATCTGCGTGGTAAAGAACAGCTTGAGACATGCTTGGGTCATCCGTAGGAGATGACTGGACACGTGTGGTGTTCTTTAGAATACCACAGAAAGAGTTTCTCAGAGGAATTGAAGAATATTTTGACACCAGCTTTTAAGTCCTAATTTACATGCTTATTGCATGACTCTAAGAAGAGACTGAATTTGACTGGATCTATTTAGCAACCCTAGAGGCTGGAATAGGTCAAAGTTCCATCCACCCTAAAATAATCCATTATGTAGTAACACTAAATGTAGTACTATGAGTGCAAATAAGCATTTAATTTATTGTGCATTGGAAAGAATTATTTAAACTATAAAGGGCTATTCAAATTTAATATATTAGTTTGATATATAATTATTACTGCTGTTTAGGTTCTGTCACATTCTGAGAGCAACCAAAGAATTTATTAGTGAAGTTCAGATCTACTAATAGAAGAGAACAAATGTATCTTAGTCTGTGAAGGAAGGAGGTGGAAGAAAGTTTACAGGATGGGTAGAAAATCAAATGTGAGAGAGAGGAAATGAGTATTATTGCATTATTCTGTTGTTGTAAAGTGCTGTCGAGTCAGTTCAACTCATAGCAACCCTGTATGTGGTTTCCAAGGAGCGGCTGGTGGGTTTGAACCACCAACCTTGTGGTTCACAGTCCATGCTGACCTTACAGCACACCCCAGTACTCCTTGCATCATTCTAGAGATTAATAATTCATAAAGTTGTGTATCTGTTGTTCTTTATGACGAGTCCATTACCACCACAAAAAGACAAACTTTCCCACTCGCCTTTTTCCCATATGTTTTACAAGAAATGGAAGTCAGGGAATATTTTTGGAAACACCAAGGCATGAAAAAGACAGGTAATCCTCTTACCTAGCTTTTTATTTAAAAGAGTCATGGTGAAAATGAGCAGGGAGCAAAGACTAGATAGAACTGCCTCTGGTTTTGTCCTCCTCATCAGATAGTCAGACCTGATATCTGGATGGGTTTTTTTTAAAGAAAAAGAGGCAGGGGGAGCCACAATAAGACCAAAGGAGCTTCTGCCACAATTGGTAAATGAGTCAGACCTTGAGAATAAAGACTAGGGAGGCCCCAAGCCAAAGAGTGAGAAAAGAAAGACCAAGAATACTAGAAGCACTCAGAGGTGGCTTCCTGGCTCTTCTGTGTTTCCGACTGCGGCTCTTTGTTAACAATCCCCTTACATGTGTTCCAATGGGAATGATGCAAAGGATGAGGAGTCCTGCAGTACATACGGGATTCACGCCCTGCTATGCCCTTCAATGAAGGTCGTGACACACACCCCCAGCCAAAGGAAAATTCTGACTCAGTTGCTTAGGCTGGGACAGAAATTCTGCAGACTAAGGCTAGGGCCCAGGGGCCAGGAGTGGGGGAGGTTTTGAGGCAGGGTAGGTTGCAGAGCATCTTAATTAGAAACAGGAATTATAGAAACCGACTGTTGTGCAGCTACAGAAAATAAAATCTTACACACAAATTCATGAAAATGGTCATCTCTGGGGAAAAGGCTGGAATTGGAGGGGTGGCCAAAGGCACAGTCATTCTTACTATAATGTATATATTTAAGAAGATAATGTATTCATATATTATGTGTGTGATCAAAAACTCTTTAAAAAAAACTTAAATTTAAGAAAGCGAAGTAGAAGGAAGAAGAAGAGGTGGAAAGAAAAGGAGAGAGAGGGAAAGACAGAATTGCCTAATAGGTCTCCTTGTAGGGGGTCTCCCTGGATGCTGGGATGAGGCAAACAGGGTGGGGCTCAGAAGCAATGGAAGACATGTGGAGCAAATGGCAAGGGGGAAGGGAAATGTCCCAAACCAAAATTCCCTGACTCACAAAAGAAGGAAGCAGGGTACATAACTGAATTTTGAGGGAAGAAAGTGCTCTTTATGGAAGAAAAATAACCTCCAGCCAGGCCTTATTCCATACTGCCTGTCAAATTGTGCTCCTCACCGTCACATAGAACGGAGCAAATGAGCATATGCTGGCGGCCCAGAAACTCAAGTCTTCTTTCTCGCCACAGCTTTTCTCTTGCCAACCGTGTCCTTGGTTGTGGAAAAATCTACAGCCCTGAATTTGATATTGTTGGCTAAGTGCTGTCGAGTCAGTTCCGACTCATAGTGACCCTGACTAGGATTTCCAGGGAGTGGCTGGTGGGTGTGAACCACCAATCTTGAGGTTAGCAGTCGAGTGCCCTTAATTTGGAGAGGTACAAATGTAGAGATGTGTTTCATACCGACCATTCACTGTCCCCTGCCCTTTCTCAAACTTTCTACCAATGCAAGACCACACCACTCCTCCCTCCCTTGGCGCACTGGGTTTCCAACCTGGTTTGTTCCTGAAAAAGCACCAGTACTTTTGCCGTACTTTCAGGGGCTTCCCGGAGGATTTCCTTTGGGAAGAATCCCCATGAAGTATGCAAACCACTTCTTTAGGGAGGAGAGGACTTCTGAGTTTGTGGTTCTGCCCTCTGGGTACAGATGAACTACCACTGGAGGTAGGCAGCCTTTCTAATTTCTTCTGGTTCACCCATATGCATTATATCCACCACCATAGCAACCCCCGGGCTCTGCAGGTGATTCATTCTGGGGTTCCCATCAGGATGGGGGAAACCCCATCCAGAGATTAGGAGAGAGGTGCTGGGGGAAGAGAGATGGGGATTAGGTGGGATATGGCAATTACCTCATTGAAGCCCTCCTGCAGGATGTCCAGTAAGTTCCCCCGGGTCAGGCAGGCTAGCATTGTTCTGCCTGGGGCTCCCCGGGCAGGGTTTCCAGGCCAGGCAGTCGTCGCCAACGCCTCCTCCTCTTCCTCCTCCCTCTTCACACAAAGACTCTTGGGTTCAGCTCATTGGGATCCCTCCGGAGTCCCGCATGCCGCTTACTAGAAACCCAGACTGGAGCCAAAGTAGCGGCTTCCACTGGGCATGCTCGCACTGCAGCCTCCGCTAGAGGGGCCCGGGCGATGTCGTGGTTCCTATAGAAACAGCTGGGCGCGCACAGAATGGAGGGGCGTCTGCAGGCGCGAGTGCTTAAAGGAGAGCTCTGCGGGCGGGCAGGCTGGCGGGCTGGAGTGCCGGCGTGTGTGCGCGCGCACACCTACACACCCAGGCGGGTGGGCGGGCGTGTAGGAGTGCGCTGCTTCAGACACAACCCCAAGCTGTGTGCTCGCATGTGCCTGTGCGTTGTGTGCATACATACTCAAGTGCGCGCGCACACACACATACACAGACATACGACGCCAGGCGTGCATGCCAATGTGTACGTGCGCTTGCAATCACACACACCAGTTGTGCCCGCATGAACTGCACTACACTCACACACTCATGTTCTGCTGACTGAAGGCCACCAGCACCCCACCGCAAGGTAGGTAGGAAGGGGACTGAATCATAGGATTCCCCCACACACAAGGCTAATTGAAAACAGTAACCTTTTCCTACATGGGGCCTAGGCAGTGAGGTCAGGCTAAAACAGAGTAGGCAGAATGACTAGAAAAAAAATAGAGGATAGAAAGAAATAAATTTCATTATTGCTATTATTTAACACATTTAATAGAACAGTACTAAATTTTGCTGGATTGCAACAGGAACCTCAAGGGTAAACCAAGGACAACTAAGGTTTTACCAAAAGAATGTGTGTATGTCTTCCTGATAACTACTAAAATGCAAAATGCATTTTCAAATACATGGGTTTTAATTAAAATAAATACCTCAAAGAGGTCCTAGAGGTTTTGAAAGAGTTAAGTAAAAACAATGAAATAGAATTAGCCCTCTTTGTTCCCAGTTATTCAAGTCACAGACTTGGGTTTTTTTTTTTTTTAAAGAATACTAATCATTTGCGCTCTCAATACAAAATCTTTTACCTACAGGAAAGCTAGAATCTGAAAGCTGGAAGAACACTCATATTACATTACACTTCATTCATCATGCAGATGAAGGGGAAGGGTTTAGAGTGTTAAGGCTCAGAAAAAGTCAGGGCCTTGACCAAGGACACAACTGATCAGTAACAGGGTCTGTTGAAGGAGCTACGACTCTACATTCATGATTTTTCCAGAAGACCAAGGTTCCATCCCCAAACCTCCATCATTAGTGCTTTAGCAAGAAAAATCAATCATGGCTGTTATTCAAGTAGTGATCTCCTCCTCGGTCACTAGAGAACAAGAAAAATATATCTGAAGCAGTTAGACTAGCAACATCTCATCTGAATGTCTAAAGCTGCTAAATACAAAGGTGCTTCTGGGAAAAAGACATCTCTCCTAACCACACAAGCAGGAACTAGAAGGCCAATGTAAGTATTAAGCTGCTGCTGCTGCTGATGGTGGTTAAATACTATAGGTTCAGTTCTGGCTAAGGCTGGGAAAGAACTATGACACCACATCAAATTTGCCTGAGCAGCCCACAAGTCAGGAAACTACTCTCCTTCTTAATCTAGCTGGGGCATTTAGTTGCCAAGAATACCCTTTGACCATACCCCAGTCATAGTGTAACACACTAAGGGGAGTTACTAACCCCTGTCAATGCAACAAGGCCCTTTTTAAAGAGAAGTATGAAACTTCCAAATAAAATTGCATTCAATACATGTAAGTGCACAGTGAAGGAAAATCAAAACACACAATTGAAGAGTCCTTGGGTTGAGGAAACTGTTTGACAGCCCACCATACTATGGATAAAGCATAAAATATTGAGAGATCAGAGGAGATCCTGCTAATAGTTATCTACGCCAAGAGGTCACTGCTCCTAAAACAAGTCATTTAACTAAATAGGACCAGTGAGATAAATGTTTCTTGGAAAAGACCCATCAAATCATTGACTTTTAAAGCTCTCCCCGCAAATTCCCCAATTCACAGATGAAGGAATGAAGTCTATGAGAAGTGCTCATGGTCACTCTGCAAGTCAATATGGGAGCTAAGATCTGAATCAAAGGCCTTTGAGTTCCAACCCTATGTTCTTTGCATGGTACCTCAAGGAATGCTGGAGAACTTAGAATTGTGGTGAGTTGATTAAAAAATATATATATATATTTTTTTTTATAGGACTTAAAGTTTAAGATTGGACTATTCCTTGGAAGTCTGTAATTATATCAACCAAATTCTAGAGCAGTGCTATCAAATAGAACTTTTATGATGGTGAAAATGTTCTATCAGGGGCCATTAGCCACATGTGGTACTGAGTACTTGAAATGTAACTAAAACAATGGTGGAGCTAAAATTTTAATGGTATTTAATTTTAATTCATTTAAAGTTGTTGTTGTTTTTAAGTGTCGCCAAGATACTTCTGACTCATAGCAACCCTTTGTAAAACAAAATGAAACGCTACCCGGTCCAGCGCCATCCTCATAATTGTTCCTGTGTTGGAGCACATTGTTGTAGCTACTGTGTCAAGCCATCTTGTTGGTGAATCTCCAATTTAAATTTCGATAGTACTATTTCCAAACATTTGGAAATGTTGAGATGTCCCAAAATATATCATATTTTCACATATTGCTTGCTTCTCACACTTGGAAAAAGCACACAATTCTTGTTGGTCTACGTGATCTCAGATTTTTGCTCAGAAGATATGTTTATCATGTATATTGTGGTCTGCCTTAGAAAGTGGCCTATGTGAAGAACTGAGCTTTAGCTCTAAGCAATACTAACATTTACTATTCCTTCCATCTTCCCGCTCCTACCCTGTTGTGATAGAATATAAGAACTGAGAGATCCAAGTGGGTTTAGCTTTAAAATCTGGGAATAATTAGGACAATGACCAGCATCCTGTAATGCCTGTATGTGGCAAAACTTCAGGCCTGCCCAGGTAGCTGGAACCCACCCCACTGCTGCAGGTCTATCATTCACTCTGCCTGATAGGAAAGGCAAAGAGATACAGCCAGCAGCTTTCTGCATGATCTCTGCCATGAGAAGCCGCCCGATTTTTAAGCTGAAACCAGACCTCCTCAAAATTACATTACTTTGGCAATAATGGAAGATACTCCTCCAACAACTAAAGCTATTCAAATATCTATATACAACAGTAATAATAAAAATTGAGCTGATCCTATGTGTTAAGCCCTGAACTAAGAACTTATAGCTCATTTGATGGTTATAGCTGCCATGAGCAGTGGGGGGTTCTTATTGTCCCCATTTTACTTATGAAGAAAGAAAGGTTTAGAGGGTAAGTAATTTGTATCTTCTCCCCCTACCCCAGAAATTATAGCTACAAGTGGTGAAGTCAATGTTCAGATTTTCAAACATTATGCAATACTTTTATATATATATATATAATACTTGCAATATAGAAGATATTCAGTAAATAATTTTAGTCAAATTTATGAGGGAATCAACAAACTAGAAGAAGCATTTGCAAACTCATTCATTACTTCTATTAATAAGGATAACAACATTATCCTAAGTAAGATTTTGAGCCTTAAACAAAACTATCATTTGATGAAAATATTGACTATGGATCCTCACTGTGTAGAACTAAGATGTGTGAAATCTACACCTATGTAAAATTTTAACATATCTATTGTGGGCAATCATTAGCGACTATAAAATAGCAATGAATTATAGAAGTTGTCAATGAAAATTCTTAAATGATCTTCTGTAATAATTTCTAAATCTTTCTTCTGTTTTCTCATATTAGCTGAATTTCTTGACATATATGTATGTTCACAATTTCTACTGTATTGACCTTCAGAGTCATCAACATAGATATATATATATAAAATGACTCACATATAATAAAGATCTCATATAAATCTTGGTACCTAAACTGCTCTCTGCCTGTACCCATCTTAATGTTTCTTAGACATTGCATTCATCTTGCTATTGATCTGCTCAAATATCTTCATACTGAAGATATCTGCTCAAATATCCTTTTCCTAGTATGTCAGTATACATTCCTTGCATCCACTCTTAAGGGCTCCCCTCAAATCACCTCTGTTCAGGTTGCAACCCATTAAAATACTATTATCCAGCACCAACTTAACTTACTCCATGTGTGCAGTTGGCCTAACTCAGGCCATGTCTACCCTGTTCCTCACCCTAGCCTTTGTGGAATTTTTATGATACCTTTCAGTATTGCTCAAGGACAGGTAGATCTTGTGCATCTGAACAATTCTGCCTAGGGGGGGTCATTAAGACAGAGAAGAAGATTGCCTTGCGTCATAAATGCTGTTTGTATTGTTTTAATCTGATTGTAATGATGGACATTTACATCTTGTGACTATCTTGTGACTTGAGCAATGCAAAGCACCTGGAAATGTACGTGATTCCCACAAGGTGCGCATTCCAGTGTCCATGAAGACAGCCTGCACTGCTATCTGGATCTCACTGGTATCACCTTCCAATAAGGCTTATTTTTTTCCTCTTTAACTTAAGAGTTAGTGAATTTGGCTCCACTGCTCCAGAGCATCAGCCTTTATTAGGGGCATCAAAGTTAGGTGTCTCCTGTCTCACAGATTTGCACGCTCATTTTCACCTCCATGCCTTCATGGCTGTCCCTCACTAAATGACCCTCACTAAAATGTCCCTCATGCCACACTTCTGCTACCCAAATCTTCAAGATACCTAGTTCAAGTTCCTCTTCTTCTATGAAACTCCTATGACCACTCTTGATTTTGATCTGCTCTCAATCTGTCTGGGATATTTATCCCCAAATAACTCATGATTCATTCCTGCTTCTTTAGGTCTTTGCTCAAATGTCAGTCTATCCATGTGGTCTGTTCTAATACTCTATTTTAAATGACAACACTGTCTCACACTACCACTCCTAATTTTATTTGTCTGGTTTATTTTTATTTGCAACACTCAACACCATCTTGTATATTCAAAATTTTGCTGATTTATTTGCTTATTGTCAGCCTTACCCTATTGAGAATGTAAGTTCC